AGCACTTCCATTTGTATAACATTCACAAGAACTGTAAGTGAGTAAAAGTGAGTAAAAAGTATAACCAATAGGTTTCAATTGTGCAATGCATTTCTAATAGAAATGTTATTGTTTAATTTTATAAAAGCGAAATCTAAGGGGAAAATAGTTTTGGAAGAGTTTAGCCTAACAGTCGTGTGGATTTGGTAACTGTAAATGCAGGGGTTCCAAAATATGACTTGGAGACTTGGGAGAAATATAATTTACAAAATACTCTGATACAAGTCAATGTCTCCCAATTCGCCAAAATTTGCCAGCTCCACATTTTACATTTCCTCAAATATTTTAAGAATCATCATGAATACTGTTTGGGTTAATAACTAGAAAGTTTATAATACAGAATAAGCACATGAAATAGCAGTAAAACAAATGTGATGTTTGTTAAACGATATACAAAAATATTTTGTCCTTAAAATAAGGATCTTGCAATGGGGAAGTGTTATTTCTGTGTTCGTTGTGGTAACATGTTGCATCTACACATATAGTAAATACACAAATTGCTCTTTTAAGGTTCTAAAGTTGTAGGGAATTGAAGTCTTTTGTTTTGTGTTCTGTCAAGCTTTGAGCCTAGCCCCTGTAATAACTGAATCTTCTCAGCTCAACTTTGAATGACCTTGTACTTGGAAAATGTTTTTAAATCCTGTTTAGTCATTATAGTTGTTCAGCAGTTAATCTAAGCACATTGTTTTTTTAAGTATGGTTAGCTTCTTGTTGCCCAAGTATAATAGGGAACAAATGGTCAAGGGGACAATGATAAAAATATTAGGAAACAGATGAAAAGCAAAAAAGACAGTTATTAAAAGGCAAGGATGTGGAAGAAATGAAGGCTACATAGAGTCATAGTGACTAGATAATTTATGGTAGAAGAGGACTAGGAGATCCTAAAAGCAAAGAAAAAGTTTAAAATGTAAACATGTTAGAATTGACATGATGGTCTTTATGGTCATATGAACATTTAATAATACACAAAGATAAATTACAGGAGTGCAAGATCACAAATATGAGATGACACAATGCACAATGAGTGATGAACTATAAAAGTTATAAAGGATGTTCTAAGGAGGGATATGGTATTGATCCAATAATTGTTGAATCTCCTTAAATCTCCATATAACTGGACAGAGAAGACTCAAATGCAGTCTCCCACCTTTACATTTAGGTTCATAATCATGCAAATAATACTTGCAGTAATAGCACAATTTTATGTAAATTGTGTAAAATTATGTAAAAAATCATGGCATTGAGTACTGTAGCCACTCTCTTCTTCTGAGAAGGGCTCCTGGACTTCAACGTGATGAAAAAAATCAATTTGCAAAGCACAGCTATCACCAAGAATGCAGGAATCTTTCTCCTAGGGCTACAGGTGGAAGGACTGAACATTTTAATGCATGTCCCAATTCACATGGTGTGAAATCTTCTTGCTTCTCTGCATTTGCACACATACACACCCCCCCAAGAATTTTATTTCTTGTCACAGTGGTATGTTCAGGGCAACTTTTCCAGAAACTATACAAAAATTACAATGGAGAGGAAAAGAAAATATACTTCTCTATAAAAAAGGTGTACTATTTCTGTAGTAAGATACTGACATTGGTGAATTGCAATTTCCAGGCTAAAATATATTCTGACCAGGTTTCAACTTATTTCTCCATTTGCTTGGGGGAAAGTCTATGCTTTTTGAGTATTTTGCTTCTCATTTAGGCTACACAACAATTTGCTTTAACAATGCTGTTTAACCCTTCATTATAAAACCAGGTACTTGGCATATCTTATTGTACATTTACACAGTGGCATCAGCTGAAATATTTTGCATACTTGTAAGGGTTAAATCTTTGAAGTCTTCCTTTGCTTTCAGTTGTAGGCTCTGAAATCCTACTCTGTAAGTGATAAATCTGAAAAACTTCCTATCTGAGAAAAAAGTGTGCAAGCGCATCCTAAAACACTGTCAAGACCTTATCTGAACCCAGATCTCTGACTCTCATCTTGCAATTCTTATTATTTAATTCAGAGAATAAAGAAACAAGCAAAGAGGAATGAGACACCTGATTTAGGTATGCTGGAGCCTCAGCGCATCACAGAACACCCAGAAACATCTCATTACCCCGTCAATGTGTAGAAGTGCTCTGCAAGGAGGGTGTCAGTGGATGGGTCCAGACTCTGCTCGGTGGTGCCAAGCAACAGGACAAGAGTCAATGGGAAAAAACTGATGCACAGGAAGCTCCACCTGACCATGAGGTGGAACTTCTTTACTGTGCAGTGACTGAGCACTGGAACAGATTGCCCAGAGAGGGTGTGGAAGTCTCGCTCACTGGGGTTATTCAAGAACGATCCTGTGCCATGTGCTCTGGGATGACCCTGCTTGAGCAGGGAGGTTGGACCCGATTTCCCACTGTGGTCCCTTCCAGTCTGACCCATTCTGTGACCTCTACGGTTCACATGTAAACAGGATCTAAACAGCGCCGGGAAACATCTGCTCCTATGGCTGAGGAAGGGCAAGGATCCGCTGGACTCCCGGGCATTTCCAGCATCCCTCGCTCAGCACCTTGGCTGGACAGCAGGTGCTCCAGCTGCATGTGCTCCCAGCCCCTGAAGCGGAAGGCCGCAGGCGACCCGCCAGCGCGTCACCGCCCGCTGCCGCCCTGCCT